GTTTTGAAACACGATTTCGAAGTTTATGCGACTTTGTTTTATCGCGATGCTCAAATTATAGCCCAGACATCAATCTTACTACCTTTACACAACAAAATATACCATTATTTTGAACACTAAAGGACTCTTCTTTACAATATTGATACGATTGGGCTCAAATTACAATTTGCTCTGTTATTGAGAAATCAATATTTTTCAGTGCTAGATCCAGATCTAAATTGTCAAATTATTTTTTCCTTAAAAAAAATCGCTATTTTTTTGTTAAATTACACACAAAAAGTATCACTCAAGACATTTGTGAGGCAGTGTGGTGGAATCAGGCTCCCGTCAAAATAATCAAAATGAAGTCACTTGCATTTTCCCGCAGGTTTGTGAATTTTTATTAAATATATGCTTTTTGGCTCAACACCTTTCATGCCCATTAAAGAACTCATTTCTGGGTGGATTTTTCTGAAAAACGATGATAAAAGGCGCAGAAAATGTAAATTTTCAGTTACCACGGACTCTTAAGCTAAGGAAATAACTAGCCTTTGGCGGCCATTTTCTCACTAATTTTACCTCTGAAAACAGGTGACCCCCACCTCCTTCTTTCGTAAATATTTCGACCTGTATTCAAGATAAAATATGCTTTTTTTTCATCCAAGTAAAGACAAGTGAACAAGCTTTAAGATGATACCAATAACTCTACATGCCCAAAAATTGATGAGAGCCTGATTCCACCACGCTGCCTCACATTTGTAAGTTTCCAAATGCAATTCTGAATAATTCCATATATGCGATACGAGGGGTTTTTTCCGTTTGTGAATGCATCTTGTCCATTTTTCAAGATTATAAATAAACCAATTTTTTTTCAATGTCGGATGTCATGATCCAAATTAGCAAATTTTATGGAATGTATATAAATAGCTACAAATTTTTCAATTCTATATATATATTAATTTATGGTTATTTTGATCTATCATTTGACTCGGTGCAAACATATTTTTTGAGTTTCATCGAAGATGGTAATTTTTTATTTTCAAATTTTATCCGAATCCAAGCAAAATTGTGTTGCATAATCGCCTCTTACAGGAGCCAAAGTTGGAAAAATTGAAAAATACACAAATAAAACATTTAGCAATGACAATGAAAAATTAAATTCTCATCCAAATTGCTTTAAAATGGGCTTAAATGAAAATAGAGTAAATTCTAAGAACTATGGTTTTTAAATCTAAAAAATCCATTGATAAATAAAAAAGTTTTTGGGATTTTTGTTTGCAAAATTTTGGAGGACCTTCATATAGGAAAAAATCCCCAAAATGTGGGACATGTTTTGATGTATTTTGAGGAACGGAGTGCTTATTGGCCCATAGGGGCATATAAAATTTCCCCTAGAACACTTATTATTTGCCCACAAAATTGCGAGTTTCTTCCCCTTATCTTCTTCCCATCCCGCCCAAAAATAATCCTCCCACTCTTCCAGATTCGCTCCAGTTAAAAACTAACCCAACGCACCACTTGCATACAGGAAGACTCCTTCCATCTCTATATATTATTTCGCATTCTAGCCTACCCTAACCCGTCTCCCGAACACATTTCCCCAAAACGCAGATTTTCCTGCTCTTTCTTCCTTTCTTCAAGAAAAGCAACCAGGCCAAATAAAAAAAAAAGAAAAAGAAAGAGAGAAAGAAAAAAAAAGAAAGAAAGAAATCCCCCTGCTGTGAGCCAGGCAAAAACCAAGCACCAGATGACCCCGGCAGTAACCTGTACCGTACCGAGCCAGGGGCGTGGAGTAGAAACTCTCTCTCTCTCTCTCTCTCTCTCTCTCTC